GCTTCCATAAAAACTCAACATTGCTCAAACGTCAATGAGCGTATTCACAATAACTCCCAACCTTGTTCAGTTATTAGACGTAATAAAACACTGATACCGTTAAATCAAACGTTAGCGTAGCGGAAAACTACAGTAAAGGATTATTTCTCGTTGCCTGTGGTGCGTATTGACACCGTTTTGGTCCCCATTTTCTCCACGGTGCGGTTAACGGAGGTGTCAAAGTGACGGGAACCTCTTTCATATTGGTGATTTGCACCTTGTAGTTCAGAATATACGGTACTGTTAATGACATAAATGACTATACACCATTTTAGACTTCTCTTATTGAATTATTGAGATAGCCTGGATGATCTAATGAACAGCTTTTTTTATCTCAGCTAAATCAATATAAGCATTTAAAATTGTAAGCCATCTTATTCGATGCCCGGGCATGTGCCTTCTACCTGTGTAACTTTTTTTCATTTTCATCGTCAAGATCGTCCCCAGCTAACCGTTCCCTTTGTTTTTTATCTTCTGTTGTTTTTATCTCAAGACAGACATTGCACTTGTTTGAGGTTAAGTACTCTTTACCCAGGATCGCAGTCGTATGCACTTACGTCTTATCCCCGCCCCCTCCTTAAAGGCGTTTGTGGAAAATTGCCCTCATTGATGATGCACAATAAAGTCTAAACGTGCACTTTTTAGATGTAGCATTTGGCAGGCACCGAATACTCGCCAATACGCATCGGGTAGCAAAGCTTTCTAACTTTTACACTGGAGATAAGATAAATTGGATCTAAATTGCATCCGCCCAGGCCCTCCTGGAGGACCGCATAAGTCGGTCATAGAACTATGTAGATAGGATAAATGAAGGGCACATCTATGGCAGATAGTATTGCTGACAGAGACAAGGGGGACTGGAATGGCCATTTCTGGCTTATTAGCCATTTTCAAATAGTCATACCCAGACCCAAGTGGTCCACCACCCGGGCATAGTTATCCCATGAAACAGAATTGGTTGACGAACTACAAAAACAACTCATCACACTGGCGGAAGGTTCGCATTTCCCAAAGTTTATCTTAGCTAGATATTCGGTCTACTAAATTTTAACTGGCCAGTTGCAGTGCCTACGGGACGGTTCAGTAGCATAATTATTGCGCACTTTGTAATGACCCCCCCCGAGCATCTTGATTTTTGGCCATCCTCGACTAAGATACCAGCACTGAGCCTTGGATGAACTTCTTTTATTGCGTCAATAGCGCACTTTCCTATATATCCACCTTAGCATTTGGAATTCCAAGCCATCAGGAAACAGAAGGGTGAAACACCTAACCTCTCTTTCCCTTGTATCGATTCCGATCATGGTTAAATTAAAATTTACTGGCATTAGAAACCATAGAAATTACTGTCCAGGTTCTAAGTATTAATACGTTTTTTTTCGAAGTCAATTATTCGCTTCTGCAGTCCGCTGTACCATGTTGTGTGAGTCTTTGAAAGTTGCCAAGCTTTTTAATAAGGAGCAGGAGCAGTTGACCTCTGAGTCGTAAAGTAAAACGAATAGATATTGTTTATTGTAGACGTAGTCGAATCTAAATTTTCCTTGCGTGCCTTTCTTTGGACCTGCTATAACCATGCATGCCATCTGAACAAATGTACCAACATCATCGGCAGAAGACCCAATTAAACTCAGATAAGCTTTCTTTACTATTTAGGGAGAGAGGGTTATCAATGCACATACACAAGCTACAGGTATAGACGCACTAGGTTGACAGTTCTTCAGTGAATATTTCCCGGCTGTGTAACCGCCGTTTCCTTTGTTATTTTTTTAGAAGTCCCCTAGTTCATAGGATTGTCAGAATTCCGTTTTCCCATGCTAATCATTCGTCTAACAGACTATCTTTCTGGTTCCCTAAAAAAATCTAGACTCTGGCGCATCTCCAGAAAGGCCGGCTCCACCGGAGGCGTGGACTGGTGCTGACTTCCCCTCCCTGGACAGACCTAACATTCCACCCAGTGCGAGACAGGAGCCGCCGCCCGGCGCGGTGCCGGCTACCACTGCGCAACAAACGTCCTCGTCGGGACATTCAAGGTCACTCGCCTCTATAGTAGGCAGGGGGCGAGTAAATATGATGTCCGCTGAAGACTTCCCCAGCCTCCCCTCGGCACCCGGTGGTGAGGTTTTCCTGGTCTTATTTTACAATGCATGCATCAAACTTTTCACTCATCAGCTACACGCTAGTCTATGTCATCGGACGACCGCAGCATATTGATTATAATTGTTATATTACTCGTAACAAGGGACCAACCGGCGGCTGCTCGCTTTTCGTTTGCAATTGTGTAAACGTAATCTTTTTGAATTTTTCTTCTGCTTCGATACATTTTACAGACAATTTATAACCTATAGGGAGTTCAAAGGTGTTCGCCTACCTCTAAAACTGAACCGAACTGAACATGTTATCAGTACTTGCCTCCTTCCCCCTTTTAAGCAGCCCTGACCGTTTGGACCGATGTTAATCGGTGGACGACGACGCTTCTTTTGTCAAGCCAGTCAGATGCTAATAGCCTCCAGATAGCTTTATACGATTTGACTTGAAAACCTCGTTTGAACTGTCCACATAATTTTTTCCGATGGCGATGAAGTCAACCGCTACATCCCTCAGAGGTCAAACGGTTAGAAAGGCGTGGGGTCTTCTCCAGGTTGATATTATTTACTAAGTATCAACTTTAATCCGCCTGACCTGCGATACTTTGCCCGTCAAACACGATAGTGACCAGCATTATGTTGAGAATAGTGGTATCCTGCACCGTGTTTTATCCCTCCTCGTCGGTATCGACGGTTGAACTGTGGTTTCCTATGTGCCTCGTCCTTGTTAGGATAGATAAAAGAGTAAATTCTATCAATTATTTCCCAGCGCCGTGTTCTAAGTAGGCTTGTTTTGAAGTATTTCATGTCCAGAAAAGAGCTCTAAACCAATATTTCTGCCCATTCCCCCTATTTT